GTGTATGCCGTTTATGCATGGATGTGTAAGCTCAAAGAGAAGTTGGTACATAATAGAACGATAACAAGCATAAACACACACACACACAGAGTGCACAAACACAATAAATATGCCAAAATGTAGACGGACAGATATACAGACATACATGCAGACAGACAGACAGACAGACAGACATATACATACATTACATACATACTACATACATATTGCATACATGCATGCATGCATGCATGCATGCATGCATGCATGCATGCATACATACATTTGCATATACATATACATATACATGTACATATGTATACACATGTCTATATATATATATATATGTGTGTGTGTGTGTGTGCGTGTGTGGGTATACATGCGTGTGTGCACAGCCGGTTGCTCAAAATCTCTGAAAGTACTATTAGCATGTATTGACAAAGATGATTTGCAGGCGCATTTGCGCACAGCATGTTGGGGTGAGCACCCCGACTCTTTTTGCTCATCTCTTTCACGTTTTGTGCTGCTTGGATGTAATATCACATGCCTCAGGTGACTTTCGACCTTCCTTCCGCAGAGGTTCTCAGTACCAGGGCCGCGACGATGAAGGCTCTCTGCCATGTGCAGATGTTGAGAGCCAGTCCTGGCGCAATGCCACATTGTTGTGGCTGTTGCTTTTCCTGATGCTGTTTCTGTCGCCATGCTTGTTGTTGTGGTGGTTGTGTGTGTTGCTACTATTATTATTGTAATATTTGTATGTGTTGCTACTATTATTATTGTAATATTGTTGTTGGTGAGGCGATATCATGGGCGACATTCGGTTCTCGATGGGCCGCAAAGTCAGAAAGCTTAAGGGATGACAATGGTGGCTTGCACTAATGCGTGCCGTGCAACTCTGGGGTGAAAATATCAAGTGCATCCTTCCTTGTATTTGTCCTGTTATAACTGCACGTGTTTTTCGTGTCAACCTTGTCTTGTTCTACAGCTTCGGGGTTATGCTTGGGTTTTTTTTGCCGTAGGGTGTATTTTGGATTGATTAACCACGCTGGTGACTGCCTTAGGGTTTTGTGCCCGGGGTCAGGGTTTGAGTTCCTCGGTTTCGGGTTTCATGGCTAATCATTTCAGCGATGAGTGCGACTTGTTTTATATCGGGATTGGGATTTCTGCTCTGGGTTGATGATGGGTTAGGGTTTACGATCTGGCGATAAGGAATTCACGGGTTCTAGGGCTGAGGGTTTCAGGGTTTAGGGTTCAAACGGCCCATGAACTCCCAGTTTTTGAGGACATATGTGTTTCAGGCCTCAGCAAAACCAGTCGTTTCCAGTTGTTTCACAATTTAGGGTTTAGGGTTTAGGGCTTGGGGGTTAGGCTTAGGGCATAGGGTATGTGGGTTAGTTCGTTTCGGCAGGCTTCGACTGCATGATACTGCATGAAAGGCGGCGTGATCCGAAGAGCACGTCTTGATACGTCTTGCCCAACATCGCCCGATACACACGCTCAAAAGTGCAGGCCACCTTCACCGGGCCTCAAGCTTTCTGCAGTGCTGGCAATCGAAGGACGTACATCGCCTGGCGAATGCGACACCCGACAGGAACTTGGCACTGGCTGAAGCCTTTCTCTGGAACTGCCTCCCAGCTAATGCATATGAGCAACAACAGGTGTGACTGAAGAACAACGAGACCTTCATTGCCTTCACTCTGATACTGAAAACGTCTGTCGATCGACGGCCGAAGCTCTCCTAGCGATACAGCTGTGCAGCACGACACTGCTCGCAGCAGCGCCACTACTGCCGCCAGTATCAGCAGAGAACAATCAAAACAATGAGTTCATAGCTGCATCCCAATTGCCCCTCTACTGCTGCGAGGTTCGATTGCTGGACCTCTTTGTCTTTCTTCTTTTGCGTTAGCTGCATCTTGCTTTTTTGACTTTACTGGGTCCTTCTTCGGCCTGTTTCCTGTAGCATTTGCCGAATTCGTTGATGCTTCTTCCAGTTTTGTTTTTTCTGCTCTTTCTGGAGTGAACCCTTCAACTGTATCTTCTTTCCGCTTCCTATCCGGCACTGGCCCTCCCCGCCTAAACCCCAAGTTCAAAACCGAAAACCCGAGAAACCTGAACCCTTACACCACACACCCTAAACCTTCATCTCCCAACCCTAAACCCAAAACTTGGATCCTAAAACAGCGCGAAACGCAAACCCTACCCAGCTCCCTTGGGGACCCTGAAATCTAAGCTGAAAAACCCAAAACCCCAAACTCTAACAACCCTAAACCCTGACCCCCGAAACCGTAAACCCCAACGACCCTGCAACATTGAGTGCGTCCACCGACAAACGAGAAGGATGCTGCAAAATGGTCTGGGAAACTATTTCTTTTGCGAATTCCTGCTGACGGCAGCGTTGCTGTGGCTGCTGCCGCTGCTGCTGCAGGGCTGGTGTGCCATGCAGCTGCATCACTGAGGTGACCTTCGGCAATCGACTGCTAGACGCTCGCAGTACCAGGGCCGCGGCGACGAAGGCCATTGAAACTTGTTGATGGCATGGTTGTGCGCATGTGCAAAAGCGGCAAAAGTTGAAAGACGGTATGCATCCAAGACTTCAGATGGTGCCAGGGCGATGTCGGGCATCAAATTTGCCAGGTGATGTTCGTCGTTCCATTGCCCGCAAGTCAGAAAGTTCGAGGCCCGACGAAGGTGGCCTGCACCTGTTTGTTCCAGACAGCTCTGGGCGCACGGTGGATGCTGCTAGATGTGGGGTTTGCAATCCAGCCTTTGCGTGGACCCGTCGTGAAATGCGCGAAGGCTTGGCATAACATATGCGTACTTGAATTCTTGTAAGATGCTTTGCGAGACTTCTTTTCGAAAAGCTTGCGAGAAACAAGATCGAGTTTTGGAAGGGCTGGAGCTGTCAACCGCGGTGTGCAACACATTCGACATTCCTGAGGTGAGCTTCGACAGTCGATTGCCAGGCGCTCTCAGTACCAGGGCCCAGACGGCGAAGGCTCGCGTGCTTGTCAGTCGCATAACTGTGCGCATA